AAACAGTCGAACGCTTTACCCTTCGCTCTGTTGTTGTGTCGATATTACACCCCTCCCCACCCCACGTCGTTAACTTATTTATTCTGACCCCTCCATCATGGCTGTCCCCTAATGTCCGCCTGCTGATCTATCTACAGCAATAAGCTAAAGACTTATTTCACCAGCCGCATACATACATATGTATAGGGAATCACCTCGACATTTCCACTTACATAATTTACTTAAATACAATGGGCAGCATTTATCCGAACCCTAGCTATTATAAAGAGTATATACAAACACATACACACAGACACATTATATATATATATATATATATATATATATATATATATATATATATATATATATATATATATATATATATATATATATATATATATATATATATATATCCTAATTTATAAATCCCCACGTTCGCACATCTCTCTCTCTCTCTCTCTCTTTCTCTGTCCGCAAAAAATTTTCGCCGGACATCACGTCAGAATCGGCAGCGATATATCGAGAACTTTTTACGGACTTTTGTTGAAAAAAATATGTTAGATGTTTTAAATGTATAACCACAATTTTATTTAAAGAAGAAAAAAAAAAATTTAAGGCGTATTCGAATATAGAGAAACAGTATTATTTATGCAACCGGAAAAGTGTATATAAACTTGAGACAAGAACGCATTTAACAATGACGTCGCTTATTGTTTACACTAAAACAAGAGCACGAAACTGATGACGTAATCTTCCGAGTTTAGACTAGATCTAAATCTACGCAAAAACTAGATCTACACTTAGACGCTACGTCGCTAAGATCTATTCTAGATCTAGATTTAGACTCTATCTACCGTAGAATCTATTCCAAAAATAAATTTCTATAATAAACTTTTTCAGGACTTAAATATTTTATAGAAATCTGTGTTTGTTTAGCAATGAAACTGGCTAATTTTGGGTAAAAAAATAATTTGAAAAAATAGGTATATTCGTGTAAGTTATATATTTAAACACTTCTTATATTCTCCATATTTTAAAAGGTACCTAATTAGCTGAGATGATAGTGTACTTGATACCAGACAGGTGGTGCTGGATCGAGACACACCAAGTCAAATCTATTTTTTTTTAAATATGTGAATCTTCCTATTTTAGACTATAAAGAAAGGAACTACTTTGGAAATCTTTGTTTATCTATGCAATTTGCTAATCTCAATAATATATGAAGCAAAGTTGTTGGGTGCTTGACATCGGGCACTTCCCGGCGCCGCAGGCGCTTCAAATTTGGCAGGATCTTGCCTTGGGGCGACAGAACACAGGGGCCGGTGCCGGTTGGCCTAAAGGTCTACGATGAGAGGTCAAAACAGACCTCGACTGACCGGCGCCTTATATGAGCTATAAATCGAAAAAAATGTGTCCACATAGGAACCTCTACATAACTCCTGAGGTCGTAGACCGCCCTCGGGCGAATTAATTAAGCATTCAAATTCTCAATGTTTTTGAAAGCCTAAGCGAAGCTGGGCAGCATGCCTAGTATATATATATTGAGAAAGAGAGAGGAAGAGAGAGAGAAAGACTAAAAATTATCTTTTTTTTGCTATGTATATATTTAAGAAAATAATACGTATGTTTCCTTACGATAAATTATTATAATTTTTTATTTGCTTCAAAGATGATCGAAAGGTTTTTTCTTAACCTTACACCCCATCTTCGATATTTTAATTTAAAAAAAAAAATAAGCCGAATGTTATTTTTTTAAAATCCGAGTTATAAATAGAAACTCATTTGACGTAAGAAAACATGGAAGCCACGACGATATAAAGGGGGTGGGGTGGGGAGGGGGGTGGGGAGGGGAGCTCAGATTCTTAACAAAACATGACGCAGTTGGACAGGAGAATTGGATTTATTTTTGTACACTTTGGAGCGTATGCTCCGACGTCTGTTTACGGGATAGGGATATTAAGTTTCAATTTCTGCGGCCGCTGACAGGGTGGTGTGGGGGTTCAGGAGGTGGGGGGATATGTGGGGGAGGGAGTTTACATGCCACTGGCTGGGACTGTCCGAAAAATGTTTACAAGATTTACAGCAGGTACCGGAAGTCTTTGAATCACAGGGGTTCTAAAATAGTGAAGCTCGATCTAGAGCTACGATCTAATCAAAATCAAAACGAGACTCAGAGTGTTCAACAGGTTACTCAATCTCAGTATATATATATATATATATATATATATATATATATATATATATATATATATATATATATATATATATATATATATATATATATATATATATATATATATATATACATATATATATATATATACATATATATATATATATATACATATATATATATATATATATACATATATATATATATATATATATATATATATACATATATATATATATATATATATATATATATATATATATATATATATATATATATATATATATATATATATATATTCTTATATATATATATGTATATATATATTTATATATATATATTATATATATGTGTGTGTGTGTGTGTCTGTGTGTCTGTGTCTGTGTGTGTGTGTGTGTATAAAGCTTATTAGAATGATGTTTTGTGAGAGAAGCGAACTGTTCCAATATTTTTACTTTCTCGTATATACGTAGTATAGAGAAAGTATTGTAATCGTGCAAAAAAAAAAAAAATAGAGATTTTTACAAATCTCGACGTTTTACACCTCACTGATACGGAAAAACATAATTTTGCAATCTTGTCCGTATGTCTGTGTGTGTGTGTGTGTGTCTGTCTGTGTGTCCGTGTGTAAACACGATAACTTGAGTACCGTTACTGCTAGGTTGATGAAATTTCATATATAAGTATTTTATCAAAATCGTAGATCCGTATCAACTTTTGAGCGATTTCCGATAACCGGAAGTGGTACTTTTTCTACTTTGAATTTTTCAAAAGCCTATAACTTGAGTACTATTTCAGATAGATAAATGAAGTTTCACATGTAAGTAAAAGATCTAATTCTCTACCTTCTGTTAAATTTTGAGTAATTTCCGTTGACCGGAAGTAGTAATTTACGCTACTTCCGATTTCTCAAAAAACTAATGTAAATTTTAAAAGTACTAATAATATTGCGCACTATAATGCGCTTTTTTATTTCGCGTTCACTTGGTGTGCAATTAATTTGTCTACGAGATTTTATTCTATTTTTAAAACTTTAAGTATTTAAAATGGATTAAAAATCATGTCTATAGCCCGAGTTCCCATCCCCTGTTATTCCCACGTTTTCTTTAACTTGCTTTCTCTGTGTGTTTATTTATTTATTTATTTGTTTGTCTTTCCAATCCAATCTTGCGATCGAAATTTCTGGCACTTCCCAGTTAGCTAGCGCGCTGAAATTTTCAGGGAAGCTTTCTTTTGGATGACCATTGAATATTCAATTGTTATTATTACTAAATTGATCAATGGAAACATTTTATTGAGCATTTTAGACCGCTATATAATCTATATATATAATTCTCCTCTGCTAGCCATTACAAAAAAAACCAGCGACGCGTACCTCGCGCGCAGTGAAGCGAACGATCACATGTCGCCACAGGCTTAGGGGCAGAGAATTTAGCTTGAACCGAGTTTAAACTTACAGGAGGTAGGCCAGTTTGGGGGAGACGATATGGTCGAGTGGTTGGGCACACGATTGCTATCCCACTCGACACGGGTTCAAATCTATGTGTTCTAGTCAGTAACGTATTCAAACAACGTGTTTTTTACGAGTTGTCTTTTTACGAGTTGTCTTTTTACGAGTTGTCTTTTTACGAGTTGTCTTTTTACGAGTTGTCTTCGTTTACCCAAAAAAAGTGAAAAGATAAAATCGATAGCAAGATTTTAATGCAAACAAACAGACAAAGACTAAAAAGTAGAAAATAATAATCATTAAAAAAGTTTTTAAAAACCCACGTTTTCTGATTGAACTAAAAAGTAGAAAATAAATGCTATAGGCCCTACATCACAATAATGCAAGCGATCACTCTACTATAAGCGAGCAAAAACGTGGGGCGCCGTGATTTTCTTACAGTTTCTAATACTGTTGACTCTCTACAAGCTCCCTAATAAAAGTCAATAGTATTATCTAATCAATAGTAATATAACTTTTACTTCGGCGCCCCACGTTTTTGCTCGCTTATAGTAGAGTGATCGCTTGCATTATTGTGATGTAGGGCCTATAGCATTTATTTTCTACTTTTTAGTTCAATCAGAAAACGTGGGTTTTTAAAAACTTTTTTAATGATTATTATTTTATATAAAAATATTCGAGAAAGTTTAGGGGAGATCACTCCCGGTTTATTTATCTGAGTGCTGTCAACACTGTTCCCATAGCCGGTCAACACTGTCCCTATAGCCGGGCAACAGTGCAAGTAAATAGAACGATGCGGGAACCTGTATGTTTTCTTCCTGCAAGTTACGTCTAGGTGTATTGATTTTTTGGCCATCTTCCGTTATCTATCTAATCAACGTATGCAAATAATCAATCAAATCTAAATTTAATGGGGATGTCTAATCTTGTGTTAGGATTCTGTCGACGTTCGTATGTGTAAGCATATGCATATGTGAGTTTTGCATACATGTGCATGTGTGAGTGGATATATATATATATATATATATATATATATATATATATATATATATATATATATATATATATATATATATATATATATATATATATATATAGATAGATACATGTATGTATATATATGTAGATATATATATATATATATATATATATATAGATAGATACATGTATGTATATATATGTAGATATATATATATATATATATATATATATATATATATATATATATATATATATATATATATATATATATATATATATATAATATATATGATTGTGTATATATAAATGTATGTGTGTGTATAATGCTTTTACATAACCAGGGATAACTAATCCTCACCAAACTAAAATGGCTGTTTAATACCCTCACGAAACAACTGGCCATAATGCTACGGTATAATGGACCAGGATTTTGGTAAATCCGGCTGTAGCTTCACGCAAACATTCACAATGCAACATTGTTTAATTATCAGCTCATTCTTTTGTTCTAAACTAAACCCACAAGTTATATGACACTACGTTTAGTATTGTAATGCTTGAAGCCTTGAATTAAACCTTAGTAGGATAAGCTAGTATCTGTATGTAGCAATACATATGATATATAGATTAACATGGGCATTTGAATGCGGGCTTACTAACAAAATTGTTTACTAGATACCCATATGGGATGATAAGGGAATTATTTTACCATTGATCAAACTCCGTTTTCTGACAATGGTAAATCTATAGGGCGTTACAGTAGCGCGGTTAGGGTACGATGGTGCTGCTATAGCTACAGTTTGACAGAGTACTTGTATAACGATCGGATTGCTTAAATGCATTGACGTTATTACAGTCAGCTAGGGAGATATAACGGCGCGATGTTAATGTTATGGTTTAGGTTAAAGGTCATAGGTAGGTGTTCTGTTTAGGTTCTGTTGAGGGTTAAGCTTTGCTTTTGGTTTAAGGTTTGTGTTATGTTTCTTTTTACAAAGTTAAAACAACATGAACGTAGATCTCCTGAGTGTCTTATCAAGTGTCTATATTTCACTAAAAATATAATAGCTATTCTTTCTGGGGGAAAAACCCCACTTTTCTACCTTTCACGACGCCGAGCGAGTATAGCTAACAACGCCCAGACGTCCACCTCTCAGGTCGCCCAGTCGCCCACCTCTCAGGTCGCCCAGTCGCCCATCTCCATGATGTTCACTCGCCTGTATGATTGGGGGACGGGGGCATCTGATTACGTCGGTGAATGCACTGGAGCGTATGTAACCTGAGCTATAGGGCTCTGGGATGTGAGTCTGGTATGATGTGAGGTTAGGGCTCTGGTATGATGTGAAGTTTGGGCTAGGGCTCTGGTATGGTGTGAGGCTAGGGTTAGGGCTCTGGTATGATGTGAGGCTAGGGTTAGGGCTCTGGTATGATGTGAGGCTAGGGTTAGGGCTCTGGTATGATGTGAGGCTAGGGTTAGGGCTCTGGTATGATGTGAGGGTAGGGTTAGGGCTCTGGTATGATGTGGGATTGGGGCTAGGGCTCTAGAATGATGTGTTAAATGCTATGGTGTGAGGTTAAGGTAATATATGAAGTGGAGTTAGGGCCCAGTTGATATAGGTTAGGGTTATGATATAAAGCGGTGTTAGGGCTCTAGTATGATTTGAGGTTATGCCCAGTACTTTCTCTAAATAAAATACTTATCAGAGCTGGCTGGACCCACGGGCCCTCTACAATAACAGTCCCAATCTCACATGCTGTCCCTCCAGAGATACTTAAGTCTACTATTTTTTTTTATCTTTGTATATGTGGGTTTTCGCATTATTTTACAGAAATTTCTTTTCCAATAAATTGTTTTAACTCATAAATATTTACATAACAGGCCAAAACAAAGTGTTATTTACGTTCAGAAAGCATTAACGTATTTCTTTTACACATAAAACAAGTATTAGTTTCCTTTATGATTGTGTAAGATGAGGTCACTACTCAAGGAAATATCTATCTCTTTAAAAAAAAAGTCGCATGCAGCTCTCAACCCCTTGATTCCAGCCATTGCACTCAAGATTCTAGACTGCGAACCTCTTTAATAAAAATAAAAAAAAAACAACGAAGCGGTGTTCCACTAGGTTTGTGCATCAGAATTTAATTACACGGCAAAACAGTTTGAACAAAGTGGATTACACGCCGCGGCCGCTGACTCGACACCGGGCGACGGACAGCTGGATAGCGGGGCTAAGGGTACGCAACTCGTGATTGATACAAAAACGTATGGGAGATAACCGGATTATTAGCGGCCCGCGAGAGGGAAAATCGTTTCTAACGTTGATCGCGCTGCGAACGATGTCGAGGATGGATGGCATTTTAAGGCCGTTTGCATTAATTAACACTAATTAACAATTGATTTATATAATGTTTGACGTATTTGTGTTAATAATTTTTCTTGATCTTCTATTAATGAAATAAAAAATATTATATTAATGCAATCAATAAGATCCATGGGTTGCCTATACCAGGGGTTGGCAATCTTTTGAAGCGGAAGAGCCAAAAGTTACAATTTTCAA